CTTGCTGGCACACGTGCAGACAACGTCGTCAAGCCCGTCGTCACCTCTTCACATTATTGGTCCATTAGTTAACATTCGAGCGTTTTAGCTGTGGCAAGCTAGGTCGTTTCTGAAGCTTGCAAGTACACACCCATTTGGCACGATCTCGGAGAGTTGAAAAGGCAGTGCACCTTTTTGACTACCTTGTGTTCTCACCTTCCTTATATGCATTAAACTATTTTATTATTGGTGACTTTCTGCATAAAAGGTCCAAGCTGAGGCTTTTTTATCTGACTCACTCATAGGACTAAATGAGCTATATATAAAAGAATAAAAATTCTACACGAATATGTACTGGTTTTCGGCTCTAATTTTTTCAAAAGTCGAATCCATGCGCTTTAAGCCCTGCTCAAAGTAATAGCTTTTTAGGTACCTGCTACCATTACTTTGTTAATATTATTGCGGAACAAATTTGGCCCCACTAGCGTAGTTCTAATTGGTAGTTATTTATGAAGTCCTGTTTTAGTTGAGTAGCCTCTCATTTTTGTTTGCTCAATATCGTAGCCAAATGAGTGGTCGACTTAAAGTTGAATGTCCCACCTTATTGTACTGGCTTCTTACGGTCGTACTCACGAGGTGAAATCTCTTCACTCAAAAGTACCAATGTACTCATTCAAAAGTCCTAGGCTTTTGAAGCTTTCTTCACTACCTTTGTATGGATCTTTATTTTTCGTTGATCCTTAGAAAACGGTGACAATCAGCTTGTAAGAAAAGCATGTTTATCTCGGTGACGATTTTGTATAAGTAGACTATTATGAAGACGTGATCCCTCCTAACTTAATGACAGATTCTCAGCAGCCAATTTATAAAAGGAAGTCTACTAAGCTGCGTATTGCCAAGATCAAGGATAAGGCGACCGACTAAGAAAGCACAAAAGTAATTAACTGCAATTTCGCTCTTGAGATTATTCAATGGATGAAGCGTAGTGACCACACGCTTCTGCACAGAACAAACGTAAATTTTTTACTCAAATTAAATAAGTAGAAATCCCTGTTAGGACCGAAGTTGATCCTCAGAGCGGTTTCTGTGCCTAAACCAATGCGTCCGCTTGAGCACACGCATTTTAGACCATATGAACTAAAGTAGAACCGTTTGACACATTTTAGGGCAAGCTTGAGTATCCCCGTTGATGGCTATGCTGTCCTCCCTCAGGAAGTGCTTCATACCGACCTAGTAACTGTCGATATTGGGTAAGTGCCCCACCATTTCGTCAATTACTTCGAAAAACCCCTCCAATCTTATGCATATCTATATGTATTCAGGTTCAAATATTACTAACTAGAGTCTGTAGTCCTACATTTGGATGGTAAAAGACCACTCTTCACCAGATGACAAAATGCTGCTCGCAAAAATCTTGTTCCATGCATGCTAGACAAATACTCTCAACTTGTACCAAATTTTCATCCATAGTCCGATACCAAGAAACTATCGTAAAGTCCGTAAAATGCATGCTTCAACGTATTTGAGCCTAGCCAACATTCACAAATGGATCGCGTAATAGTGTAGTCGCTCTAAACAAAATCGAAAATAACCCTTATAAAACTCCGAAAACAGTAATGCCAAAAGTGCTTAGAACTTTCGTTCTGCAATTAAAGAATTTTCGATGCTAAAGATCGCAGCAAAGAAATCACCAAAAAGGGCACTTTGGTTAAGCACCATTTTCCCTGAATTTATAGGTTAAATGATTAGAGAGGGTTCATTAGGCACCTTTTGGCGAATAGAAATGGGTATAAGTATGAATGAGACAACGACTCTTCGTTACTCCGCGGGTGAGTTCCTGCGTTCTTCACGCACAGGTGTCTATATTGCAGATGCTATATAAACTTGGCCGTTAGTTGATTTTAATGCCACTGCTACTCTCATTAGAGATTTCTGAGCATTGCAAATGCTACCTTCATCTTGATGGTGGACCGCGCCTAAATTCCGGATCAAGTTTTTGGAACTGGTAGAAGGATTTCTGAAATGTGCACTAACAACATAACAGTACCTGTTCCATGCATTGTTCGTCATACTTGAATACCCCTTAGCGATTCCTGTATTTCACGTTGAATGCCGAAAAGAGGACATACTCCTACCTCACTCGAGCAGAAGACTCACAATACTATGGTCTTAATGTGTATTCGATTTAAGAGCTTTAGTGTCGCCAACTCCATCAACGTCTTACTCACTCACCGGCGTGACGTCGACACCTTTTTGTTTTGCACATTCGAACCCCCTAAAACTACTGCAATTCGAAACACCGAGCATAAGGGGACGCTAGGAGGACATTGTGAAGTAGAAATTTGCTCTTTTTTCGCATTTTGCCTATTATCATGCTCACTATTTCGTCAAACAGAAAGTTGTGTGACATTAAACGCAGACGTCTCGCCTTTCAGATACATGATTACTGGCTTTGAAGTTTTAAAGTTTCTCACTATTTACGTAAAGATAGATTTTTTTGACAATAATTAGACTCCATTTTTCACGGAATTAGTCAATAGATCTTGTGTATAACGTCAGTTAAGATTCTAGTTTTTTGAGACAGAAAGTGAACAGAATTTTTCCTTGGGTTAGTTTAACTCTTCGGTAGAAAAAGGGTTCTTGTCTGTCTCAGACATAGCCTTTTATGTACAGATTGAGACGATGATCATAAAGTGACGCTTTAGTGGATTTTAACGCGCCTATATTTGTTAATCACTCATAACTTGTTTTCAAAACACACCAAATACCCTTCTTTGCACACTAGGCTTACTCTGCCCGGGTCTGAGTTATAACGTCTCTTCAAAGCTTCGTAAATTTTTTTAACAATCCAGAGGAGCAAATTTACATTGGCGTCGTAGAGCCAATGTGCTACTGTGGTGCAAGTAGAGTGTGCGAAAGGTCATTTACTAAGTCCGTTAAATCAGTCAGATGC